TCATTAAAATGGTTAAATAGTCATTTTTAAAAATGTTAAAATGTTCATTAAAACGTTAAATTCTTCTTTGAAACGTTTAAATGTTCATTTTTAAAAACAATTAAAGGTTCATTAAAACGTTAAAATTTTCATTAAAATGTTTAAATGTTCATTAAAACATTAAAATCTTCATTTTTAAAAACGTTAAAATGTTCATGAAAACGTTTAAATGTCCATTCAAATGTTAAATTCTTCATTAAAACGTTTAAGTGTTCATTTTTAAAAACGTTAAAACGTTCATTAAAACGTTAAAATTTTCATTAAAACGTTAAAATGTTCATTAAAACTTTAAAATCTTCATTAAAACATGAAAATGTTCATTAAAACGTTTAAATGTTCATTTTTAAAAACGTTTAAAGGTTCAATAAAACGTTAAAATCTTCATTTTTAAAAACGTTAAAAAAGCAGTCTCCTTCTGACATCATAAAGAAACAAGCAGTCTCCCTCTGACATCATAAAGAAACAAGCAGTATCTTTCTGACATCATAAAGCAACAAGCAGTCTCCTTCTGACATCATAAAGAAACAAGCAGTCTCCTTCTGACATCATAAAGAAACAAGTAGTCTCCCTCTGACATCATAAAGAAACAAGCAGTATCTTTCTGATATCAAATAAACAAGCAGTATCTTTCTGACATCATAAAGAAACAAGCAGTCTCCTTCTGATATCACGTAGAAACAAGCAGTCTCCTTCTGATATCATGTAGAAACAAGCAGTCTCCTTCTGATATCATGTAGAAACAAGATATATATGTCTGTTATATATTAGAATATATATATGCTTGTTGAATATAAATCTTCATTAAAACGTTTAAATGTTCGTTTTTAAAAACGTTAAAATCATCATTAAAACGTTTAAATCTTCATTAAAACGTTTAAATGTTCATTAAAACGTTAAAATCTTCATGAAAACATGAAAATGTTCATTAAAACGTTAAAATGGTCATTAAAACGTTAAAATGTTCATTAAAATGTTAAAATGTTCATTAAAACGTTTAAATGTTCATTTTTAAAACGTTAAAATGTTAATTAAAATGTTTAAATGTTCATTTTTAAAAACGTTGAAATGTTCATTAAAACGTTAAAATTTTCATTAAAACGTTAAAATGTTCATTAAAACGTTAAAATGGTCATTAAAAAGTTAAAATGTTCATTAAAATGTTAAAATGTTCATTAAAACGTTAAAATGTTCATTAAAACGTTAAAATGGTCATTAAAATTTTAAAATGTTCATTAAAATGTTAAAATCTTCATTAAAACGTTTAAATGTTCATTTTTAAAAACGTTTAAAGGTTCAATAAAACGTTAAAACCTTCATTTTTAAAAACGTTAAAAAAGCAGTCTCCTTCTGACATCATAAAGAAACAAGCACTCTCCCTCTGACATCATAAAGAAACAAGCAGTATCTTTCTGACATCAAAGAAACAAGCCGTCTCCATCTGATATCATAAAGAAACAAGCAGTATCTTTCTGACATCAAAGAAACAAGCCGTCTCCTTCTGACATCATAAAGAAACAAGCAGTCTCCTTCTGATATCATGTAGGAACAAGCAGTATCTTGCTGACATCATAAAGAAACAAGCAGTCTCCATGTAGAAACTATATATATATGTCTAATATATATCCGAATATGTTCATTAACATGTTAAAATGTTAATTAAAACATTAAAATGTTAATTAAAACATTAAAATGTTCATTTAAATGTTAAAATGTTCATTAAAACGTTAAATTCTTCATTTAAATGGTTTAATGTTTATTTTTAAAAACATTAAAATCTTCATTAAAACGTTTAAATGTCCATTAAAACATTAAATTCTTCATTAAAATGTTTAAATGTTCATTTTTAAAAATGTTAAAATGTTCATTAAAACGTTTAAATGTTCATTAACATGTTAAAATCTTCATTAAAACATTAAAATGTTAATTAAAACGTTAAAATGTTCATTAAAACATTAAATTCTTCATTAAAACGTTTAAATGTTCATTTTTAAAATGTTAAAATATTCATTAAAATGTTTAAATGTTCAGTTTTAAGAACTCTAAAATGTTCAATAAAACGTTTAAAGGTTCATTGAAACATTAAAATGTTAATTAAAACGTTAAAATGTTCATTAAAACATTAAAATGTTCATTAAAACGTTAAAATGTTCATTAAAACGGTTAAATGTTCATTTTTAAAAACATTAAAATCTTCATTAAAACGTTAAAATGTCCATTAAAACATTAAATTCTTCATTAAAACGTTCAAATCTTCATTAAAACATTAAATTCTTCATTAAAACGTTTAAATGTTCGATTTTAAAAATGTTAAAATGTTCATTAAAACATTAAAATGTTCATTAAAACGTTAAAATGTTCATTAAAACGTTTAAATGTTCATTAACATGTTAAAATCTTCATTAAAACATTAAAATGTTAATTAAAACGTTAAAATGTTCATTAAAACATTAAATTCTTCATTAAAACGTTTAAATGTTCATTTTTAAAATGTTAAAATGTTCATTAAATGTTTAAATGTTCAGTTTTAAAAACTCTAAAATGTTCATTAAAACGTTTAAAGGTTCATTGAAACATTAAAATGTTAATTAAAATGTTAAAATGTTCATTAAAACATTAAAATTTTCATTAAAACGTTTAAATGTTCATTTTTAAAAACGTTAAAATGTTCACTAAAACATTAAAATGTTCATTAAAATGTTAAAATGTTCATTAAAATGGTTAAATGTTCATTTTTAAAAACATTAAAATCTTCATTAAAACATTAAAATGTCCATTAAAACATTAAATTCTTCATTAAAACGTTCAAATCTTCATTGAAACATTAAATTCTTCATTAAAACGTTTAAATGTTCGATTTTAAAAATGTTAAAATGTTCATTAAAACATTAAAATGTTCATTAAAACGTTAAAATGTTCATTAAAACATTAAATTCTTCATTAAAATGTTTAAATGTTCGATTTTAAAAATGTTAAAATGTTCATTAAAACATTAAAATGTTCATTAAAACGTTAAAATGTTCATTAAAACGTTAAATTCTTCATTAAAACAGTTAAATGTTCATTTTTAAAAACATTAAAATCTTCATTAAAACGTTTAAATGTCCATTAAAACATTAAATTCTTCATCAAAACGTTTAAATGTTCATTTTTAAAAACGTTAAAATGTTCATTAAAACGTTTAAATGTTCATTAACATGTTAAAATGTTCATTAAAACACTAAATTCTTCAATAAAACGTTAAAATGGTCATTAAAAAGTTAAAATGTTCATTAAAATGTTAAAATCTTCATTAAAACGTTTAAATGTTCATTTTTAAAAACGTTTAAAGGTTCAATAAAACGTTAAAATCTTCATTTTTAAAAACGTTAAAAAGTTCATTAAAATGTTAAAATGTTCATTAAAACGTTAAAATCTTCATTTTTAAAGACGTTAAAATGTTCATGAAAAAGTTTAAATGTCCATTAAAACATTAAATTCTTCATTAAAACGTTTAAATGTTCATTTTTAAAAACGTTAAAATGTTCATTATAACATTAAAATGTTCATTAAAACGGTAAAATGTTCATTAAAATGTTAAATTCTTCATTAAAATGGTTAAATGTTCATTTTTAAAAACATTAAAATCTTCATTAAGACGTTTAAATGTCCATTAAAACATTAAATTCTTCATTAAAACGTTAAAATCTTCATTTTTTTTAAATGTTAAAATGTTCATTAAAACGTTTAAATGTTCATTAACATGTTAAAATCTTCATTAAAACATTTAATTGTTAATTAAAACGTTAAAATGTTCATTAAAACATTAAATTCTTCATTAAAATGGTTAAATAGTCATTTTTAAAAATGTTAAAATGTTCATTAAAACGTTAAATTCTTCTTTGAAACGTTTAAATGTTCATTTTTAAAAACAATTAAAGGTTCATTAAAACGTTAAAATTTTCATTAAAATGTTTAAATGTTCATTAAAACATTAAAATCTTCATTTTTAAAAACGTTAAAACGTTCATTAAAACGTTAAAATTTTCATTAAAACGTTAAAATGTTCATTAAAACTTTAAAATCTTCATTAAAACATGAAAATGTTCATTAAAACGTTTAAATGTTCATTTTTAAAAACGTTTAAAGGTTCAATAAAACGTTAAAATCTTCATTTTTAAAAACGTTAAAAAAGCAGTCTCCTTCTCTCTTAAAAATAAAGGTTCCAGTTAGAACCAAAGACGGTTCTTCACAGTGATGCCATAGGGGAACCTTCTTCGGTTCTCCAAGAAACCTTTTGCCTATTGGTTCCTCAAAGAACCATTTATAAATGGGTTCTTTGAGGAACTTTTATTTGGTTCTCTGTGGAACCTCACATATAGAACCTTTTAGGGTTCCACAAATAACCATTTATCAAAAGGTTCTATGAAGAACTAATTTAATTGGGTGCTTCAGAGAACCGAAAAAAGTTCTTTAAAGAACATCATTAGATTCTCTGTGGAACCTTAAAATCAGAACCTTTTAGGGTTCCTTAAATAACCATTTATCAAGGGGTTCTCTGAAGAACTAATTCATTTAGGTGCTTCAGAAAAAGTTTTTTTGGGTGTGTTAATCAGAAATTATCAATTTAAGTGCAGTAATTAAACCAAAAAGAAAATGTTGGGACCCAATTACATTAAATCACTGTTTCATTCCTGTCAAATCTGTTTTCATTTACACCCAGACAAAACTTTGTTTTAGAGGTTATAAAGGGATGTTTTTTGTTTCTACATTTCTTGAAAAAATTATTTCTACAAAATTAAACACAACAAAAACTGATCATATAACATGTCCTTCAAAGCAAATAATGCCATTAAAAAAGGTACAACTAATTGTTTTTCATAAAAATGTATAAAATTGACATTCTCAAAGAAAGTCCCTACCCACATCTGTACCAAAAATCTTGGACAGGCGAGAGTCAAAAAAAGAACTCACATACTGCAAGGTTCCAATATGCAGTCAATTTATTTGCTTCAGGAAAGTAGTTGTAACTTCTCAAGCAAGAAAGCTCTGTCACGCAAGTTTACAGGCGCCATCTTAAATGTCTTGTGATGTAGTCACTTGATGGGCCATGCACTGCGAACAAACAGTGTAAACAAGCAGACATAATATAATCCTATGCAAGGCAAAAAGGTATTATAAAGTGCTGAAATGTTTTTTATAATGCTGGAAAAATAGTGGCGGTAAAGAGCAACTCGAGTTGAACACATTTGCAAAATCACACCAACAGAACAAATGGAAAACCATAACAGAAAGTGCCAGGCTTGCTTTTTACAGTGAATTGTAAAACCTTTGCACAGCAATTGGAACAGAACGCTTCATTTTGAAAACAAAAGTTTCCAGAAAGGAAACAGTCTTTCTCAAGTTTTTGGGATACTGAACTTGGAAGATGTGGTAAAGAGAAAAAGTAGCAGCCAGGGCAAGGGAGATGTCCACACTGCCATCATCGAGGAGTATCTCTTCATTATCCATCTTCACAGTGATGGCCTCACTCTGCAGTGGGTCTTCGTCCCTGCAGTCTGTCAGGACAACAGTTGGTGTTGGAAACACTGGATCCTGTAAAATGCAATCATAGAAAAGCCCTTAAGACCCCCTTTTTCAGACAAAATGACCAATTAAGCAAAGTTGAAAATATTTTAACCTGGCAGCAGCCAGATCTCTCTGTGTAGCCCCGCCCCGTGTTGAGTCTACACAGAGATCTGGAATGGTTGCAGCAGAATCTGTTTGAAAGAGGGAGGGCTTTCTGGTAGAGAATATTTTCAATTGATTGGAGGACGCGCAAGGTAATGCCCAGCTGGCACTGGCTGGCTGCTGCCAGGATAGGGCATCCATGGTGAAGTGTGAAATCCATGGTGTAGCATAGCTAGCGAAGGTTCATATTAGAGGGCTGCATCGGGATTGGGTCCCGCGGAACCCAACACAAATCTTGCGAGGGCGGGCGGTGTGAATTTTGCTGCGGGCGGGAACGGTCGGCTAAAAGAAACAGTGCGGGATTGGGATGAGTATGGAGTCGGCAACTGATGTTGAAAAGAAGCTGAAACAAGGTCTTTATGACACAAAAACCAAAGCAAGGCAAGTCAGACAATTGGAGGAGTTTCTCCGATTGCGTTAATATTGCTCATTCAGGTCTCTCTTAGAAAAGCAACCTCGATCACTGCCTGATTAGAGTTGAATAGAATGTGAAACGGCCTTGATTTCATTAACCCTTTAAGCACCACACAGTAGCTCCTTTATTATTTTTTTTTAAAGAATTTTATAGTTTAAGTAGCAAGGAGTTATTTGAAATCACATGTGCCGAGGCGTCACCGGTGATCCTGGTGACGCCTCGGTGTTAAAGGGTTAAAAACTAAATGAAAACAAAGTGCGTCATTCCTGACCATTTGTTAAAGGGGGGAGTCAGGGGTGCGCGCAGTCTCTTTAGTCTTTATCCGCAAGAGCGCCAGGGGCGGGGGGTATTGGAGATGTAGCGTGAGAGCATGTGTACAAGGTCAGATGCATGTGTCTCATGTAGGGCTGAAACGATTCCTCGAATACCTCGAATAATTCGAGTACAAAAAATCCTCGAGTCAAATTCTCTGCCTCGAGGATTCGTTTAATTCATATTTAATTAATTCAGGGCTTTGCAATCGCCCGGGGTCATGTTTCACCCGGACCGAAATAAGTGACGCACATGCCCACTGGGCTGAATGCACACGCGAGTAGCGAATGTAACTTAACTTTCTCTTAAGCTATGGCGGACAACGTGGACTAGGGTTGTCACGGTATGAAAATTTAACCTCACGGTTATTGTGACCAAAATTATCACGGTTTTCGGTATTATCGCGGTATTTTTTAAACGGTGTTGCATATGTTCAGAAAGCATTGATAGTCCTGTTCTACACAAACTGAAATAGTTTTGAAAATGTTTAACAGTGTTTATTAAACCTAAAATAACACAAAGCCTTAGCAAAAGTGCAACTTTTCACAAGTAAAGGAACAAATAGCTTATTTTTCTGGAACATGTTACAGTAGTCAGTGCAGGTTTAAATTATACAAATCCAAACATTCAAAACATAAACAATATGTAAACAAATCAAAGAAACACCACTTGTTTTCTCATATACTTGTTTTCTTCATTATCAAAATGAAAATCTAAAACTCCAGTCCACACTTGACTTGAGCACTGTACAAGTCAACCTTAAAAAATATGTATTTAAAACAAATAGCCACTTTAAACAAATTACTAAAATAACTACACTATGTAATCAAATCCAAATGTTCAAGTATAAATGGCATTGAATAAGTAAACAAATCAATGACAAGGAACTAATTGTATATTTCTCTTCATCATCAACAAATAAGATGCTTCATCCAGCAACAGGGTGTCTGTGACACGATTTAAATGCTGGCAGAGGGCGCTGCGGCTGCAGCATATAGTGACTCGTTGCATTCTCCCTCAACCAAAAGTCCTCACGTCATGCATTTCAGCTAAAATGCTAATGTTAACTTACCTTGCACTGGCTGTAGAGACGTGGGTGATCGTCACACAGATGTGCCATTAGATTCGAAGTGTTACCTTTTGCAGACACTTGTTTCCTGCACGTTCTGCAAACGGGATAGCCGTCTTCTATTAACTGTCCCTCAGCATTTTTCAGAAATCCCAAATATGCCCATACTTCCGATTTAGTCTTCTTTGAGGGCGGATGGATGTCCTGGGCGCTGCCGTCTCCTCCTTCGGCCATTATTTCAGCTTCAAAGTTTTGGTGCCGTTGCAAACTAAAAAGTGCGCGCCGCGGGAACTTCAGCTGAAGCGACGGTGGCTGGTAAGGGTCATCGCGCCGAAACCGCGGCCACGGTAAACCCACCGAGATAATATAGTTTTTTAAAAACTGGACGGTTATTTTTATTGTCAACTTTTTTACCGGGGTTTACCGCTATACCGGTTACCGTGACAACCCTAACGTGGACCTCGGTGGAGTGCGAAAAAGACAGAAAATGTCAAAGGTGTGGGACCATTTTTCACGTCGTAAGGTGGAAAACGTAGTCCAGTGTAAATACTGTAAAATGGATTTAGCCTACCTCACCACCACATCCTCCGTGCTGCAGCACCTGTAAATGTCACTTCTGCAGGCGGACTCGGAGCCTCTACAAGATAATGCATTTTAGCCTGTATTTCTATATATTCTGCAGACACTGTGCGACTTTTTCGTTTGTAGCACTCAGTTTTAGCTCACACCGTACATCTGGTAGCAACACGTCGAACTTAAAATGTGCTAAAAAATAGTTTTACACAACACGTCGGACTTTTTATTGTGTAATTGATGTCCGTTGTCCCTCGGGGTTTCAGCAGGAGGACACGGGTATTTATGAGTGGCGGAGGAAAACGAAAGAAAGTAAATAAATGTTTTGTGATCAGTATAATTTGACAAAACCACGGCAAACATGCTTTCTCGACAATCCTTGTTATTGTGTGAGAAAAAAAGTGTAGAAATTAAAACGAACGTGTGTTAATAGGGAAACAGCCGGCGAGCTGTTTGCGCCGTGAGCGGTTCTGGTTCTGTTTGGGCCGCAGCCGCTCGCAGCGCTACTTCAACAGTTATCCTCCTAGTTTCTGTCTGGCATGCAGGCTAGCAGATTCTCGCACGAGGGGAAAATCGGCTCAGGTTGTTTACTTATTTTTTGCACAGGCATTTGTTTACTGTGAAGTAAAGTTGAAGTGCTGAAGTTTTGCAAACTAATTTTGAATAAAACTTGAAGAATAACTGGCAATTGCTTGCTCATTTTGAGAGGTCTTTCATAATTATAACATGCTATTTGATATAATGGTTTACAAACACAAAAGGGTAATTTATTAGAGTACTCGATTAATCGAAAAAAAGATTCGATAGAGTACTCGATTACAAAAATATTCGATAGCTGCAGCCCTAGTCTCATGCTCATTGTGTTAGAGCTGGCAGCCCTGGTGAAAGCAGGATGGTATTTCGTAATTTCTCATCATGTTTGTACATTTCACTATAATTGTGACTAATCTGCTGCAGCTAAACCTTGATTAGAAAACTAAAAATCACAAATTCAACAGAAATCTTAATTTGTGCTAGAAACATAAACACAACTTAATATTTTCCTGAAATAGTTTAGTTCTAGTAAAATAAAGATATTTAAATAATATATTTAAGTTAGGTTTTGTCTGTTCTTTACTGAAAGTAGTTAATGAGCAAATAGCATAAAATTACGGCTGCAGCTATCGAATATTTTTCTAATCGAGTACTCTATCAAATCTTTTATCAATTAACCGAGTACTCTAATAGATTACCCTTTTGCGTTTTTAAACCATCATATCAAACAGCATGTTATAATTAGGAAAGACCTCCTGAAATGAGCAGGCAGTTGCCAGTTATTCTTTAAGTTTTATTCAAAATTAGTTTTCAAAACTTCAGCACTTCAACTTTACTTCACAGTAAACAAATGCGAGCGGCTGCGACCCAAACAGCACCAGAACCGCTCACGGCGCATGCGCAAACATGGCTCGCCAGCTGTTTCCCTATTAACACACGTTCGTTTTAATTTCTACACTTTTTTTTGTCTCACAATAACAAGGATTGTCGAAAGCATGTTTGCCGTGGTTTTGTCAAATTATACTGATCACACATTTATTTACTTTCTTTCGTTTTCCTCCGCCACTCATAAATACCCGTGTCCTCCTGCAGCAATCCTGAGGGACAACTGACATCAATAACAACACAGTAAAAAGTCTGACGTGTTGTAAAAACTGCTGTTTTTAGCACATTCTAAGACCGACGTGTTGCTACCAGACGTACGGTGTGAGCTAAAACTGAGTGCTACAAATGAAAAAGTCGCACAGTGTCTGCAGAATATATAGAAATACAGGCTAAAATGCATTATCTTGTAGAGGCTCCGAGTCCGCTTGCAGAAGTGACATTTACATGTGGATGTTTCCTGGTCAGGTGCTGCAGCATGGAGGATGTGGTGTTGTGCTAGGCTAAATCCATTTTACAGTATTTACACTGGACTACGCTTTCCGCCTTACGACGTGAAAAATGGTCCCACACCTTTGACTTTTTCTGTCTTTTTTGCACTCCACCGGGGTCCACGTTGTTCGCCATGGCTTAAAAGAAAGTTAAGTTACATTCGCTACTCGCGTGTGCATTCAGTCCAGTGTGTTATGTGCAGCACTTATTTCGGTCCGGGTGAAACATGACCCCGGGCGATTGCAAAGCCATGAATTAATTAAATATGAATTAAACGAATCCTCGAGGCAGAGAATTTGACTTGAGGATTTTTTGTACTCTAATTATTCGAGGTACTCGGGGAATCGTTTCAGCCCTACTTAAAATATAAATTCTATAGTTTTTTAAATATCTAATTTTTCAATAATTATTCATATGGATCAATATGAATTTTATCAATATGCTTTTTTTCTATATTGTCCAGCCCTAATTCAAACAAAAGAAATTTCACATGTTGGAGTCTGAGTCCATGTCCAAGTTCAAGTCCTGATGTTGCAAGTCTGAGTTCAAGTGCAAGTCATATTTACCTTGTCAATGACAAATAGCTGCTGTGGGTCCTCTTTGAAGACGGAAGGTAGTAGAAGCACTGCAGCGTTGACAATCTGACCTTCAAAAAAATACAGAAGAATTGTAAAGAAAAATATAAGTGTCTCAAATAACACAGCGGCGCGTCTGGTCTTCAATCAGCCTAAAAGAGCACACGTCACCCCTCTGTTCATTGAGCTCCACTGGCTACCACTAGCAGCACGCATCAAATTCAAATTGCTAACACTAGCATACAAAGTCTGAGATGGTACGGCTCCCATCTACCTGAATCCTCTTGCAAAGGCTTACGTCTCGGCCCAGCCGCTCCGGTCATCACAGGATCGTCGGCTAACAGTGCCTACACCACGCTCAGGACAATCCAGACTCTTCTCATGCATCATTCCACAAATGTGGAATGACCTTCCTGATACTACCAGAACTGCGGCGTCCTTTTCTATTTTCAAGAAACTCCTGAAGACCCTGCTCTTCAGAGAGCATCTTCTAAACTAGCACCCTCCCTGCACCCGTCCCCCCTCTCTACTGCCCACTCCTTGTTCCTTCCTCTCCATGACTGATGTCAATGTGTTGTTGTTACTATTGTTGTTAGCCTCAAGGGCAAAATGCCGATTATCACTTGTAAGTCGCTTTGGACAAAAGCGTCTGCTAAATACATAAACATAAACACGTAATTGAGCATGGTAAAGTAAAATGCATAACAATTTATTAAACTGTAAAGTTATTAGAGGCACAACATACCTCTTCTTTCCTCCTCTGTCTCTGAGGCATCAAGCCCAACCAAACACTTGTCCTTGAGGGCACTTTTAGGAGCCTTGTCAACAATTTTTGGGACATCTTGGCAAAGTTGGTGACTATGCGTTTCTCCACATCCACTTTGCTTATGAGCTTCACTTCCTCTAGAATCTAAAACACACACAGTACGAAAAAGATATTGATACCAAGAATTTAAAAGGAACTCCAGCTATGAGGACGTGTTTACCCTAATAAGCCAATATTTTTCTGTTGTACCAAAATATGTTGTTAGAAGCACACAAAATATAGCCAATTATTTACAAAACTGTGTTTAGTACATTTGTTGACATACGTAAGACACCATGTTTTCTGCGTGCAATGCACTCTGGGGACGATGACGTATGTTTATGTGCTCACCGTTATAATAATTAAGTAAAATGCTGCATTGCGCTGCTTTTGGATGCAATTTCCAGTCAAAAGGCAACAAGGGGAGTGATGTGAGTTACAGCTTTCCTACTGACAAGAAGAGGCGAAAGCAGTGGGAAGATGCCTGTGGACAGACAACTTTTTTCAGCTGCCAAATTATGCATCCCCATCTTTTAAACTGTTACCTGCTATGCTGAAACCACACAATGTATATAAATATATATATTTATATTAAAACTAAAATAAACACAGAAATACCAGGTTTTATCCTAACAATTTGTACGTGACGGTTAATAAAATCTTTACTGTGTCCCAGATGAATTTTTCAATGATCTGCTATGGTATTTCTGTGTTTTTTTTTAAATAAATATATATATATATATATATATATATATATATATATATATATATTTATTTATATACATTCTGTGGTTTGAGCATAGCAGGTAACACTTTAAAAGATGGGGATGCATAATCGTCAGCTTGAAATGTTGCACTGCCGAAATATGCATCCACTACTACTTCAAGTAATGAGGGGATGCTATTCTCAGCATAACACTGGGCAGAATGTGGGATGGAGCAGGGAGGAGGCGATTTGCTATAGGTTATGCACAATTGTTTTTCCTCCACTTTTTCTACAAAGATTGGATCAAACTTCTTCACCACGCTGCTGAGTCGGGTTGTCAGACATGAGTGGTACCACACGTGCATATTTGCTACAAAACTCACGTGTCTGCAACTTTTTGCGTAATTTAGAGGGGTGAGTTGTACCAGCGTAGATTAGTCGGTTCTGCTGTTGAAACCCGTTGTTCCACCGCTCCGCAGCGCGCAAGCGTACACGCGAGCTCACTACAGCCCCCCAAGTTGGCCCCGAATTTAATATGTTTTTCACATGCCAACAAAAAGAAAAAAAGTAATTCTCTTAAATGAAAAGTCTCAGCTATTAACTTGCATGCTTTGGAACAGAAAAAGTGCATAAAAACCACAATAATTCAAGCTCCACTCTGATGCTCACCTGTTCCAGCCAGATGCCTGCATCAGAAGGTTAGGCTCTAAATTGAGCTTTATCAGAGAGGACAGTTGCTCACATATAAGTGCTGGTGCACATGGAGAACATTTCAGCAGCTCGGGCTGTGTCAAAGAGGAAAGATACAAGCTGCAACAGCTCTGACCTGAGCGTGTCAATACGCTGGAGTCAGCCCCGCCTGGAAGTTGTTCGCTTCCCATGTCAGCCGCGAAAGGACTACTAAGCAGTTGGGGTCTCAGTTTCTGGGTTTCAAAGTCGGCAAGTCGCTGAGAAAACTCGGAGCTGAGTAAGTGCACTGTTTTCAGTTTGTTCGAAACTGCGGAGGGTAACGCCAACGCCGATACTATCACTAAAAGCTAATGACTGTAAACAGAAAATAGGGGGCGCTCCGGCGCTTCGACTGGCGCGAAAACACCGCAAAGCACTGTGGGATTTGAAGTCTTCGCGGCAGATTGGACCGGCGGGCCCGTTTTAATACATTTTTTAAATTTAATCTCGGGGGCCAAATAAAAATAGACTGAGAGCTAAATTTGGCTCGAGGGCATGCGTTGGGCACCTGTGATCTAGCCCTACTCTCAACAGTCTGCCGATTTAAACAGGAATACACCACACATTGTTCAAGATGGCTGCATCTTTCTTTTTTTGCCTTGGAGCAGCTAGTCTATTCCCCATTTGATAAGGGAGGTGGCGCACAAAAAAAAAAACAACAGTTGGAGTAGTTAACTGCTTTACTAACTAACTTACAATACTAACGCAGCTTTCTGTTACCCTACAAGCAGCATAATATACAGTCCCGAGTTTCATTTACCTACAAGGAATAGTGTTAGCTACCGCTAACAAGCTAAAGTGGCTAAGTAGTTATCAGTTTAGCAAACATTCTGCCATTTCAAATGTAGAAATCGGCACCGCGATTCTGTACAGCTAACTTTAGTGAACAGTTCACAACAAGATAATAATTTTTATAAATGTAATCTACTGAATTTACCTTGACGGTCGATCTTCACCTCCGTGTCAGGGCGGGAAGGAACAAGAAGCAACAGCAGCAGCAGACCAAAATGGTGATGAGTCTTCTGGATTTTACCGACACCTACCGATGGTGACGTTTGTGAGGAGGTGGGGGAGGGGTGGCTACACAAACTTTATTGAAACATGCACAAAACGAAACAAAGGCATAAACTTTTAAAGTGAGTGTAGGTTACAACCCTTTTATCAGTGTTTAGAAATATATTATAGGAAGTAGTTTTAATTAGAACATACAACTGCATTGGTATCGGTTCCTAGTATTGGTTAACTTTTAACGAGTACAATTACAGTATCAGTATCAAAGTAATGAAGTATAGCCAAACATTATTAATTCACATCATTACATTTCTTTGACTCTTCTTTAAAAAATGTAGTTACAAAAAATTACCCTCTATATAAAAGGGCCATGTGAGCATTGTTACACAAAGCCAGGAGTTATTAAGATTAGGCATAGATCTTCAAACAGTAAAAAGGTTCTTCAAAGCACTAAAAGTAAGTATAAATGTGACAACCTCTCTTCAAAAAATTAATCAGTTCTCAAAAGAACCTTAAACAGCAAGGAAAAGGTTCTTCAACTGAAAAAGGTTCTCCAGGGCACTCAAAGTGCTTTAGAGAACTTATGAAGAACCACTTTTAGTCTCCCTCTGACATCATAAAGAAACAAGCAGTATTTTTCTGACATCATAAAGCAACAAGCAGTCTCCTTCTGACATCATAAAGAAACAAGCAGTCTCCTTCTGACATCATAAAGAAACAAGTAGTCTCCCTCTGACATCATAAAGAAACAAGCAGTATCTTTCTGACATCAAATAAACAAGCAGTATCTTTCTGACATCATAAAGAAACAAGCAGTCTCCTTCTGATATCACGTAGAAACAAGCAGTCTCCTTCTGATATCATGTAGAAACAAGCAGTCTCCTTCTGATATCATGTAGAAACAAGATATATATGTCTGTTATATATTAGAATATATATATGCTTGTTGAATATAAATCTTCATTAAAACGTTTAAATGTTCGTTTTTAAAAACGTTAAAATCATCATTAAAACGTTTAAATCTTCATTAAAACGTTTAAATGTTCATTAAAACGTTAAAATCTTCATGAAAACATGAAAATGTTCATTAAAACGTTAAAATGGTCATTAAAACATGAAAATGTTCATTAAAACGTTAAAATGGTCATTAAAACGTTAAAATGTTCATTAAAATGTTAAAATGTTCATTAAAACGTTTAAATGTTCATTTTTAAAACGTTAAAATGTTAATTAAAATGTTTAAATGTTCATTTTTAAAAACGATTAAAGGTTCATTAAAACGTTAACATTTTCATTAAAACGTTTAAATGTTCATTAAAACGTTAAAATCTTCATTAAAACATTAAAATCTTCATTTTTAAAAACGTTGAAATGTTCATTAAAACGTTAAAATTTTCATTAAAACGTTAAAATGTTCATTAAAACGTTAAAATGTTCATTAAAACGTTAAAATGGTCATTAAAAAGTTAAAATGTTCATTAAAATGTTAAAATGTTCATTAAAACGTTAAAATGTTCATTAAAACGTTAAAATGGTCAATAAAATTTTAAAATGTTCATTAAAATGTTAAAATCTTCATTTAAACGTTTAAATGTTCATTTTTAAAAACGTTTAAAGGTTCAATAAAACGTTAAAACCTTCATTTTTAAAAACGTTAAAAAAGCAGTCTCCTTCTGACATCATAAAGAAACAAGCACTCTCCCTCTGACATCATAAAGAAACAAGCAGTATCTTTCTGACATCAAAGAAACAAGCCGTCTCCATCTGATATCATAAAGAAACAAGCAGTCTCCTTCTGACATCATAAAGAAACAAGCAGTCTCCTTCTGATATCATGTAGGAACAAGCAGTATCTTGCTGACATCATAAAGAAACAAGCAGTCTCCATGTAGAAACTATATATATATGTCTAATATATATCCGAATATGTTCATTAAAACATTAAAATGTTAATTAAAACATTAAAATGTTCATTAAAACATTAAAATGTTCATTTAAATGTTAAAATGTTCATTAAAACGTTAAATTCTTCATTAAAATGGTTTAATGTTTATTTTTAAAAACATTAAAATCTTCATTAAAACGTTTAAATGTCCATTAAAACATTAAATTCTTCATTAAAACGTTTAAATGTTCATTTTTAAAAACGTTCAAATGTTCATTAAAACGTTTAAATGTTCATTAACATGTTAAAATCTTCATTAAAACATTAAAATGTTAATTAAAACGTTAAAATGTTCATTAAAACATTAAATTCTTCATTAAAACGTTTAAATGTTCATTTTTAAAATGTTAAAATATTCATTAAAATGTTTAAATGTTCAGTTTTAAGAACTCTAAAATGTTCATTAAAACGTTTAAAGGTTCATTGAAACATTAAAATGTTAATTAAAACGTTAAAATGTTCATTAAAACATTAAAATGTTCATTAAAACGTTAAAATGTTCATTAAAACGTTTAAATGTTCATTAACATGTTAAAATGTTCATTAAAACATTAAAATGTTAATTAAAACGTTAAAATGTTCATTAAAACACTAAATTCTTCATTAAAACGTTAAAATGGTCATTAAAAAGTTAAAATGTTCATTAAAATATTAAAATCTTCATTAAAACGTTTAAATGTTCATTTTTAAAAACGTTTAAAGGTTCAATAAAACGTTAAAATCTTCATTTTTAAAAACGTTAAAAAGTTCATTAAAATGTTAAAATGTTCATTAAAACGTTAAAATCTTCATTTTTAAAGACGTTAAAATGTTCATGAAAAAGTTTAAATGTCAATTAAAACATTAAATTCTTCATTAAAACGTTTAAATGTTCATTTTTAAAAACGTTAAAATGTTCATTAAAACATTAAAATGTTCATTAAAACGGTAAAATGTTCATTAAAATGTTAAATTCTTCATTAAAACGGTTAAATGTTCATTTTTAAAAACATTAAAATCTTCATTAAGACATTTAAATGTCCATTAAAACATTAAATTCTTCATTAAAACGTTAAAATCTTCATTTTTTTAAATGTTAAAATGTTCATTAAAACGTTTAAATGTTCATTAACATGTTAAAATCTTCATTAAAACATTAAAATGTTAATTAAAACGTTAAAATGTTCATTAAAACATTAAATTCTTCATTAAAATATTTAAATGTTCATTTTTAAAAATGTTAAAATGTTCATTAAAACGTTAAATTCTTCATTGAAACGTTTAAATGTTCATTTTTTAAAAACGATTAAAGGTTCTTTAAAACGTTAAAATGTTCATGAAAACGTTTAAATGTCCATTCAAATGTTAAATTCTTCATTAAAACGTTTAAATGTTCATTTTTAAAAACGTTAAAACGTTCATTAAAACGTTAAAATTTTCATTAAAACGTTAAAATGTTCATTAAAACTTTAAAATATTCATTAAAACATGAAAATGTTCATTAAAATGTCTAAATGTTCATTTTTAAAAACGTTTAAAGGTTCAATAAAACGTTAAAATCTTTATTTTTAAAAACGTTAAAAAAGCAGTCTCCTTCTGACATCATAAAGAAACAAGCAGTCTCCCTCTGACATCATAAAGAAACAAGCAGTATCTTTCTGACATCATAAAGCAACAAGCAGTCTCCTTCTGACATCATAAAGAAACAAGCAGTCTCCTTCTGACATCATAAAGAAATAAGTAGTCTCCCTCTGACATCATAAAGAAACAAGCAGTATCTTTCTGATATCAAAGAAACAAGCAGAATCTTTCTGACATCATAAAGAAACAAGCAGTCTCCTTCTGATATCATGTAGAAACAAGCAGTCTCCTTCTGATATCATGTAGAAACAAGCAGTCTCCTTCTGATATCATGTAGAAACAAGATATATATGTCTGTTATATATTAGAATATATATATGCTTGTTGAATATAAATCTTCATTAAAACGTTTAAATGTTCGTTTTTAAAAACGTTAAAATCATCATTAAAACGTTTAAATCTTCATTAAAACGTGTAAATGTTCATTAAAACATGAAAATGTTCATTAAAACGTTAAAATGGTCATTAAAACGTTAAAATGTTCATTAAAATGTTAAAATGTTCATTAAAACGTTTAAATGTTCATTAAAACGTTAAAATTTTCATTAAAACGTTAAAATCTTCATTAAAACGTTAAAATCTTCATTTTTAAAAACGTTAAAATGTTCATTAAAACGTTTAAATGGTCATGAAACGTTAAAATGTTCATTAAAACGTTAAAATCTTCATTTGTAAAAACATCAAAATGTTCATTAAAACGTTAAAATGTTTTATAAAACGTTAAAATGTTCAATAAAACGTTAAAATGTTCAATAAAACGTTAAAATGTTCATTAAAACGTTAAAATCTTCATTAAACGTTCAAATCATCATTAAAATGTTAAAATCTTCATTAAAACATTAAAATGTTCATTAAAACGTTAAAATCTTCATTAAAACTTTAAATTCTTCATTAAAATGTTAAAATCTTCATTAAAACATTAAAATATTTATTTTAAAAACGTTAAAATGTTCATTAAAACGTTTAAAGGTTCATTAAAACGTTTAAATCTTCATGAAAACTTTAAAATGTTCATTAAAACGTTTAAATGTTCATTAAAACGTTAAAATCTTCATTAAAACGTTAAAATCTTCATTTTTAAAAACGTTAAAATGTTCATTAAAACGTTAAAATGTTATATAAAACGTTAAAATGTTCAATGAAACATTAAAATGTTCATTAAAACGTTTAAAGATTCATTAAAACGTTAAAATGTTCATTAAACCGTTTAAAGGTTCATTAAAACATTTAAATGTTCTTTAAAACGTTTAAATCTTCATTAAAACGTTTAAATGTTCATTAAAACGTTAAAATCTTCATTAAAACCTTTAAATGTTCATTTTTAAAAATGTTAAAAGGTTCATTAAAACGTTAAAATTTTCATTAAAACGTTAAAATGTTCATTAAAACGTTAAAATCTTCATTAAAACGTTAAAATGTTCATTAAAACGTTATAATCTTCATTAAAATGTTAAAGTCTTCATTAAAACATTAAATTCTTCATTAAAACGTTAAAATGTTCATTAAAACATTAAACTGTTTATTTTAAAAACGTTAAAATGTTCATTAAAACATTTAAAGGTTCATTAAAATGTTTAAATGTTCATTAAAACATTAAAATGTTCATCAAAACGTTTCAATGTTCATCAAAATGTTAAAGTCTTCATTTTTAAAAACGTTTAAATGTTCATGAAAACGTTAAAATGTTCATTAAAACGTTTAAATGTTCATTAAAATGTTAAAATCTTCATTTTTAAAAATGTTAAAATATTAATTAAAATGTTAAAATGTTCTATAAAACAATAAAATGTTCAATACAACGTTTAAA